TATTATCTTTATCATTGTAATCATTATTATTATCATTATGATTATGATTATAAGAATTATGATGATTATTATAAACATTATCATTAAATATCATCATTGTTATTATGACTATTGTCCTTTATTTTAACTTTATTATCATTATGATGATAATAATGATTATTATTATTATCATATTTTGTTATGGTTATTGTCATAATTCTGTCAACATTTTTATGGTGATTATGTTATATACTCCTATTTGCAATTATTGTTTTTACTGTTTTATTGTTTTTACCGGTGCTATTGTTATTACAAATATAATCTCTAACACTAACAATTGTTATTATCGTTATTAGTTTTATGGTTGCTATTATTATTACTGTTTTTGTTGTTGTAGTTAGCTTTATGCTTGGAATTACTGTTATGATTATATTTATATCATTTTCATAAACTAAATCACTTTTAAAACTATTATCATTGAAATTATTCTAACTACTATTACCTCTACTGGTATTAACAAATATACTTCTACTTTAAACATTCTCTTTAATGCTATTGTAGCGGTTGCTATTCTTACTACACTTCATTTTTATAGCAACCATTTCTTAGTAGAGTTACTTTTACCATCATTATATATTGAGTTCAGCGTTAATCATGATCCCTTACTAAAATATCTATTAACATTTATGATTATGTTTATGAAATTTGTTAAAAATGTGATTTTTTTTTTTTTTTTTTTTTTTTTTTGCTGTCACTTTGTCTTTAAAATCATCAGTAATCTATTATTTACGTTTTTATTTAGTTATGATTTTTTTGTACAAGTGTAGTTGTCACCGTGCTTAGTGTTTACTAGTGTTCTCAGTGAAATAAAATGATTTTGTTGCTTGTGTTTCGTATGTAGTTTGAAGTTTATATCTTATCTTTTGGTGAGTCAAGAAGCACACGTTAAAAATTATTCATGTATTTTTTTTTATCACAGAATAAAGACACATCAGCGTGATAAACAGTGACATCGATCTGGTTGAAGGAAACATGGTTCCGGTAAACAACCAAACAGGCTTGATGGCTGGTTGATCGAGTGCGGACTTTACTCATCCTGCTTCAACACCTCCTCCTCCTCGTCCTCGTCCTCGTCCTCCTCCTCCTCCTCCTCCTACGCCTGCGCCTTCTCCTCACTACTGCTTCTTGGAGAATATGGTGAGGATGCCGTCGGAGGAGAGCGTGGCTTCGATAGACTCCGGGATGACGTTGTCGGGCACGATGAAGCGCCGGAGGAAGCTGTGGGAGGACGTCTTGACCCCCTCCTGGCGTGTCCCGCGTCCCTCCACCACCAGGATGTTCTCGGACGTGATCATGACCTTCACTTCGCCGTTCATGAAGTCCAGGACGTCGAGCACGATCTGTCGTGTGAAGGAAGTTCGAAATGATTGATAAAATAATAGAATATATGTGTTTACTCAGAGTAGATGAGTAGCATCAGAATTTTATAAATCACTTAGTTCTTGTGACTTACAGCAAACGGAATCGTATTAACGGAGCGATGATGTTACCAACTAGTCGAATAAATAATGACGCCAATCTGTTCCTTCCCCTACCTTCTGGAACTGAGCGTCCTCTTTGACGCTGACCGCCTGGTTCTCCAGCTTGATGGTCTTCTGCCGAAGGCGCCTGTAGATCGTCATGTGATCCTCCTTCGAATCCTTCTCGGTGGATTTCATCACGACCTCCGTAACGGACGACTGGAAGTCCTGGCGGGAGTCTTGGAAGTAGGGATCGCTGAGGAAACTTCCCTTCTTGTTCACCGGAAGTACTCTGTCCTCGCCGGGTTTCTGGACGACGGCCTCCTTCGTCACCTCCTTCTTCGTGTCTGTGGTCTTCTCGACGGTGACTTGCTGCTGCTGCGTCACCTGGTCAAAGACAGACGCTTGCTAATCAGTCTTTGATATCAACAATTAAAGGATACATCTTATTCAATATATTTGCCGAAAACACAGCGACTGGTAGCAAAGGACAATGCAGTTTTCGCTGGCTTCGATCCTCTTACCTTCTTGGGAGCCGTGATGGTGAGGATGCCGTCGGCCGACATCACAGCGGTCACCGAGTTCACCTGGATGTTCTCCGAGAGGATGAACGTCTTCTTGCACCTTTTGGTCGAGGTGACTCCACCCTCCTGCCTGTCCACGCGCCCTTCCACCACCACCTCCCGCTCCTGCACGACCTTGACCGTCACTTCTCCTCCGTTGGCGAAGTCTTGTACGTCTACAACGAACTGGAGAAATACAACGCATGCTATAATAACACCGACGCGGATACAGGACGCCCAGAATTCATGGTATCAGAAGGACGAACGTAAATCCTTTCCTGCACTCACTTTTCGGACTTGCTCGCTCTCCTTCTCGGTGATGGCCTGCGTCTCCTCCCTCAACTCGCGCTGACGGACCGTCCTGTACGTGGTCATGACGTCGACGGTGGAAGTCTCGATGTTCAGCTTCTTCAGGATCTGTATAACAGCTGTCTGGAA